ATATATATAGTGATATTTCTAATAACTTTTTACATTTTTTATGCATAATATATTAAATAATAATGTATTCTTTAGGCACCTACATTGAATCATACTGGAGGTCTTTTAATGAACAATCAACCCCCAACAAATTCTACGGGACCAATTACAAAACCAGCTGTAACTCAATCTAGTAATGTTTCTTCAGAACAAGGTATGTAAACAATTTAAATTAATTTCAATTTTCAAAAAAACATACTTAAGCGATTTTATTATTCTTAATTTTTAGATTATGCAATTCTTAATTTTTAAATATATATTTTAATTTAATATTTAATTATATTAAACATCATTTTACAAAAATATAATGTTCTTTTCATTGCGACGTATAAAAATCTATAATATTAAAAGCACGTCGCATGTTTCTATGATAATTTAAAATGTATTAAATTTTTCTATTTTATATTTAATATTTAATAAAATTTTATTAGGTGGCAATAGTCAACAATCTGTAGCAGTAGCTGCTGTTACAGCTGGTCAAGGAATGCCTGTAGCGAGTCACACGTCTATGCCCGCTCAACCTCCTCGATCTACAGCTATGGCTACAGCTGCTCCTGTAAAAAAACCTACACCGCCACCACCAACTACATCCAACCCACCAACTCCATCAGTATCTGTACCAACTCCACCACCAAGTGTTACACCTACAAATACGAATTCTATAGTAGCTTCACCGGTTGTGCCTCAGCCACCACAGCCACCTACATCTGTTAGTTCCTTTTCAAATACAAACACTCCTGTACCTACAGATGGGACAACTTTAACTCAACAATCAGATCTTTTACAACCATATAATACTCTAGGTACGTATCTTGTTATATTATATATCATAATAATATATTATATTTATAAAATTTATTATTTTTTTGATATGAATATCTTATGAAAAAATATTTTTTTGAACAGCTCCTGTGCCTACTACACAAACATCGTTGGAACAAATGTCATTAAAAAAAAAACCGCACATACCAATGATTCAGACACCACATACAACAACTAATAACACCAATTTAAATTACTGCCTGATATAAAAACACCAGTGAATATGATGCCTACAAGTATGGCATCTAATTTAAATTTGGGAAATATGACCATGGCCAATCTGAATATGAATTTACAACAAGGATTAGCTACTCATATGTCAATGCACAATCAATTGGAAAATATGATAAATACAACATCACCATTGACTAATATACAAAATTCTCACAATGCTACAATATCACAACAGCATTCCAATGGATTTTCTAATATTAAGCGTGAGAATTCTCCGCCTAATATGTTAAATAATAATGGCATATCTGGTCTTAATATGGGAATGAGTATGGGTGGAATAGGTTCAATTTTTGATCCTATGCCCATGCAATCATCTATGCCAATGCAAATGTCGCAAATTCCAATTAAAAAAGAAGAGAAATCAGTATCAATTTCTCAATCGCAAATGCCTCAAAAGCCTATGGATGGTATGTATTATGATTAGTTTAGATTTAAAGCATGCATTTAAATATTGTGTTATGTTGCTGCAAATTATAATTTTTATCTTTAAATTTAATTCATTTTTTCTATTATCTATTTCTATTCATTTCTGCTATACTGAAATACTATATTAACTTAACATTTAATAAATATTTTTACTTTTATATTTTTTAAATAATTAACTTTGCTTCTTTACTTTTTCTTTATAGAGCATGATAATGATATATTTTCTGATATTGCAAATTAAATGTATTAGCTTTATTAAAAATCAACTTTATTTAATCCTTGTTATTTATGTATATCGTTCATATTTTAAATTGCTATATTAACTGCTTACTAATCAAATATATAATACCATTGCTCTAGCCGGAGCTCTTTTTGCAGAGATGAATACAGGGATGCCATCAATGAGTAATCATTCGAGTTCACAGCTCATGCCTGAGAAAAAAATGACACCACCCGATTCAAAAAATCCTGTGTCGAATTTCGCTTCAGCTTTTAAAAATAAGGTAGGAGGATTTTCAAATTTTTGTAATATTATATAATTTTTTTTCTGTGTTTTTCTAAATATTTAATTTTTTTATTTATTCTTATACAGACTGTAGAACAAAATGTGAAAAATGCCTCATCATGGTCATCTTTAGCACAAGCATCAAGTCCCCAATCTGCAGCAGGAAGTAGCATGAAAAGTGCAGCACAGGATTCATTCCAAGCATTCAAAAAACAAGCAAAAGAAAAGCAAGATAGGGTTAGTATATATATAGAGTTAATATATTTATTTTATAAATAATACAATATTATTGTACATATTAATATAACGCTTTTTATTTAATAAAATTTAATAAATAAAATTATATATATATATTGATATATTTAAAAATGTCTAATTGTTTCTATAGCAAAGAGCTTTATTGGAACAACAAGAAATGCGTAGACAACAGAAAGAACAAGCAGAACGAGAACGTTTACGACAAGAAAATGAAAGAAGAAGAGAACGAGAAGAAGAAGATGCTTTAGATAAAGTTAGAAAAACTGTTGGTGATCAACAAGGAAATGTCATGACTGCTACGTCAAGAGCAGAAGAAGTCAAAGCCATTGTTGATACTGATAGTAGTAGTCCAAGTCATTCATCCAATCAAGATAAGGCCGCAGCTGAAAGAGAACGTCAAAGGCTACGAGAGCAAGAACGACGAAGACGTGAAGCGGTAAGTTCTATTATATTTTTTTATACAACATTTCATATTTTGTAAAAGATTTAACTTTAAATTTAAGTATATGAAAATTCAAATAAAACATGATATTATATGCATATAATGTCATTGAAAATATATATATATATATAATAAAATATAAAAAGTATAATCTCTTATATAAAAAAGATTAGAAATATTTGATTATTTTTTTCTAGAAAGTTTGAATAAGTAAATTTTTTTTATCGTCTACAGATTTTGGTAGACGAATTTGCCAAGATTGGATATATTTATTATTTCAGATGGCCGGACAAATTGACATGAACATGCAAAGTGATTTGATGGCAGCATTTGAGGAGTCGTTATAATGTTATTTGCTGCTCGTTGTAAATCCACTAAAACCGGGCAAGACTTGGATGGCGCTGGATGATACGATAAAAACGTATAATATATACGTCAGTCAATAACAAATAATAATAAATAATGAGATAAACCGAAAAAATTCGGTGTAACAAAGTAAACGATATAATGGTGGTGCGAGTTGGGACATTCCAACAAAGAACCTTAATGTCATTGTCCGAGTGGATCGGAATTCAAAGAGACAGTTTATCAAATAACTCAAACTTGTGTGTAATCGACGGACACCTAAGTGTGACCTAATGTAATTAGATAAATACTTACACGACACTTTAAAAAATATTACACTGACTATTGTGTTACATTTTTCCGGTTTTCATAAGTTTGTACTTTATGTAAATTTCGAAACAAAACAAAAAAATATTACACAGATGATAAGTGAACGAAAGAAAGAGTATGCGAGAGAGAGAGAGAAAGATAGAATGTATAATGTGCGGTCAAGGAATAGATGAGTATGAAAGTGTGAACAGAGTGAAAGTTGTGTACATTTAGTTAAGTTTTATATTTTTCCACATTCAGTCATTAATCGTTGGTAGGATTACATAGACAGTGTTTCTGCCAATAATACATATAATTATTAGCAATTACTAATAATTTTATTGCAGATTTCTTTCTCGATTATGAATATACACTATTTGTAATCACGAAATAGGTAGACTTGTTAAGTCAATAATATAGAAAAATATATCTAATGCGAACATACATTGGTGAATTTAATCATATTGATCATTATGATAGCCCAGTTAAGTCTATCTCGATTTCGATTGACTTGAGAATCAAATCAGGGCCAATCGGTTGATTTGAAAAAAATAATATTTGTAAACTCACCTTAGAACAAAGTCGTCAATTATTACGAATAACCGTAAGGTGATTATAGAATGATATAGATCCTACCAACTATTAGATCAGATCCACGTATGTACCTAATTCTTGGTATACTTTGGGATCGCAGAAACAGAAAATGTGACACAGTATCGGCTCGTAAATGGAACATTATTTAGAAAACAATTATGTTTGTTTTATAAAATGAACTATGAAAACAGTTCATTAAGGAAATGTTAAACATTTCAAGAAAATTATTGAAATATAACTACAAAGAATCGCGGTTTGATGAAGCGATTCAAATTTTACAAAATATAAATCGCCCTTATATATGTATGTACGCAATTGTATAACGCGCATCCAAAATTCAATCGGCAAAAAGTACAAAAAATGACATTTAATTAAAAAACCGATTATTGATTAAAATTTGGATTTATTGCGTACTACTATTATTATATTACTATTACAGAGGGATTTTTAAAGAAGTATTTGAATTTGTAGAAGTTATAAAAATAATGGCTATAGTGGTACAGAGACATTACATGATAACAAGAGTTATTATGTAAGGTATATTATTATTATTATATATTAATTATTATTAATTATTATTATTAATATTATTATTAATATTATTATTATTATTATTATTATTATTATTATTATTATTATTAAATTATTTCATTGAATGGAATTTTATTTTTTTAAGAGCCTCTTTAAACCTGCAATGTCTTTCTCTTTATCGTAGCGTAACAAATGAGTTTTATTTGGAATTAAAGGAACGCTACACTGACACAAGTCGTTTGTGGCATTAACAAAATATGCTTAATTTTATTTTTGCTTAATTCAAAAGAATTTACTGTTCACAAATACATGTTCCTTTCTACGTGATACTAGAACAAATACTTTACAGTTGCGAACAATGAAAAGATCTTAAATGATTCAAAGATCGAATACGCAGTTTGGTACATACTAAATACGCGATGTTCGTAAGATCATCAAAAATGAATTCGTCTTATTTTCAAACTCTGTCAAATGGCAAAGCGTATAAGATATCGATGATAGACCACTAATAAATACGTAATGTTTAATTTTATTTATTCTGAATTTTTTTTTCAACATGATCTATCATGGTATCGTATAACTTTGTTTTCGACGAATCTCGTAGAGAGTTTGACGTTTTCGTTAAACGTCGCTTTAAAAATCGATCGTGTAATTGCACATTATGTATAAATTTTGAAGAGAAAATTTCGCGAGAAATGCGATCGATAAAAGCAAGAAAAAGGAAAAGAAAAAAATCTATTTCCGATCTTCAAGAATTCCGTCGAAAGTTTGGCTTGCGTTTAAATTGCTGAAATGCCCCTCGCCTAAAGATGACATTACAGTGTATACAAACGATTTATTATTACAGAGACGCTTAGACCTGATTCCGTCGCATTAAATTTGTTTAATATATATAGTCGTTCAAATTTCTTGAGCGTTTTCTCCAAACGAGTGAATGGAGTCGACGCTAAAGAAAAACGTGTCGAGATAACGAACAGGAAAGCGTAGGAGGCGTGTATCTATGTCGATGAAGATCACGAAATATCCACGTTTGTAGAGTAACGTTAATTGTATGCGTGCCTGTCTATGATTTGTTTAGATACTTATCGAACAGGCAAGAGAAATGTGAATTTTAAGTGCAAGTAAATGATTGACAGGGAAACGGTTTGAAAAAAATAATATCGTGAATAATTGTCCGAAATATTTCTCGGGTATATTGATTGAATTTATTGTGTGTTGTCATTGTTTGCGACCGATTGAGATATTGTATCTGAATATTGAGAAACAGGATCGCAAGCAAGGAGCTCGAAAATAGTACACAGCAGGTGTAATAAAATAGAAAGCGAAAATTTATAAGTATATATTCGCGTCGGTATTCGTAATCCTGTTTTCGTTGTCAAGTGCATCGGAGATAGAAAACGAAAAAAAAAAAAAAAAAAAATTGATAATAATATAATAAGCATTCATACGTGGAATGCTCTTTATTCTCATGTGTTGTGTGCGCTTTCATATCAATGCGATCACGCATTCGTTGATCGTCAATACTAATTCTAGCAATACAGTAGACTATCTTACATCTTTTTTTATTTAATACACCGGTATTGTTCCCGGGTGTTTGCTAATCAAAATTCAAGATTTACGATGAAATCTTGGCTCTCAACTTTTAGCAATGTATTCACTGCGATATTAATATTCGCGTCTTAGCATGTACAATGATTTAGTCATCCGTATGTTAATTCTTGTTGTATGCACTTAATGCAGTGAGATGATTTCCTGCGAGGGTGACATTAATAATATGTGAAAAAAAGGGAAGTGAGAAAAATAATCTTGTGTTCTTTCGATATATAATAAAAAAAAAAAAAAAAGCGATGTTCGAGGAGATAATGGAATTGTCATAGATATAAATCGAATCGAAGTTTAAGCCTAGGCGTAATAAATATGTACTGTTTTTCCGTTTACTAACGTCGATCATTATCGGTATTCGAGCAAGATTTCCGAAAACATGTCTATTGGCATATATAATTACAAATTAATTATATTTGATATTCGAATACGATAGATGGTAATACGTTATAATACGATGTAATATACAATATAAAATGTTAGGAAATG